GGGGCACCGTGCCTTCTCCTCCCCTGTCCCTTCCCGGGGGCACCGTGCCTTCTCCTCCCCTGTCCCTTCCCGGGGGCACCGTGCCTTCTCCTCCCCTGTCCCTTCCCGGGGGCACCGTGCCTTCTCCTCCCCTGTCCCTTCCCGGGGGCACCGTGCCTTCTCCTCCCCTGTCCCTTCCCGGGGGCACCGTGCCTTCTCCTCCCCTGTCCCTTCCCGGGGGCACCGTGCCTTCTCCTCCCCTGTCCCTTCCCGGGGGCACCGTGCCTTCTCCTCCCCTGTCCCTTCCCGGGGGCACCGTGCCTTCTCCTCCCCTGTCCCTTCCCGGGGGCACCGTGCCTTCTCCTCCCCTGTCCCTTCCCGGGGGCACCGTGCCTTCTCCTCCCCTGTCCCTTCCCGGGGGCACCGTGCCTTCTCCTCCCCTGTCCCTTCCCGGGGGCACCGTGCCTTCTCCTCCCCTGTCCCTTCCCGGGGGCACCGTGCCTTCTCCTCCCCTGTCCCTTCCCGGGGGCACCGTGCCTTCTCCTCCCCTGTCCCTTCCCGGGGGCACCGTGCCTTCTCCTCCCCTGTCCCTTCCCGGGGGCACCGTGCCTTCTCCTCCCCTGTCCCTTCCCGGGGGCACCGTGCCTTCTCCTCCCCTGTCCCTTCCCGGGGGCACCGTGCCTTCTCCTCCCCTGTCCCTTCCCGGGGGCACCGTGCCTTCTCCTCCCCTGTCCCTTCCCGGGGGCACCGTGCCTTCTCCTCCCCTGTCCCTTCCCGGGGGCACCGTGCCTTCTCCTCCCCTGTCCCTTCCCGGGGGCACCGTGCCTTCTCCTCCCCTGTCCCTTCCCGGGGGCACCGTGCCTTCTCCTCCCCTGTCCCTTCCCGGGGGCACCGTGCCTTCTCCTCCCCTGTCCCTTCCCGGGGGCACCGTGCCTTCTCCTCCCCTGTCCCTTCCCGGGGGCACCGTGCCTTCTCCTCCCCTGTCCCTTCCCGGGGGCACCGTGCCTTCTCCTCCCCTGTCCCTTCCCGGGGGCACCGTGCCTTCTCCTCCCCTGTCCCTTCCCGGGGGCACCGTGCCTTCTCCTCCCCTGTCCCTTCCCGGGGGCACCGTGCCTTCTCCTCCCCTGTCCCTTCCCGGGGGCACCGTGCCTTCTCCTCCCCTGTCCCTTCCCGGGGGCACCGTGCCTTCTCCTCCCCTGTCCCTTCCCGGGGGCACCGTGCCTTCTCCTCCCCTGTCCCTTCCCGGGGGCACCGTGCCTTCTCCTCCCCTGTCCCTTCCCGGGGGCACCGTGCCTTCTCCTCCCCTGTCCCTTCCCGGGGGCACCGTGCCTTCTCCTCCCCTGTCCCTTCCCGGGGGCACCGTGCCTTCTCCTCCCCTGTCCCTTCCCGGGGGCACCGTGCCTTCTCCTCCCCTGTCCCTTCCCGGGGGCACCGTGCCTTCTCCTCCCCTGTCCCTTCCCGGGGGCACCGTGCCTTCTCCTCCCCTGTCCCTTCCCGGGGGCACCGTGCCTTCTCCTCCCCTGTCCCTTCCCGGGGGCACCGTGCCTTCTCCTCCCCTGTCCCTTCCCGGGGGCACCGTGCCTTCTCCTCCCCTGTCCCTTCCCGGGGGCACCGTGCCTTCTCCTCCCCTGTCCCTTCCCGGGGGCACCGTGCCTTCTCCTCCCCTGTCCCTTCCCGGGGGCACCGTGCCTTCTCCTCCCCTGTCCCTTCCCGGGGGCACCGTGCCTTCTCCTCCCCTGTCCCTTCCCGGGGGCACCGTGCCTTCTCCTCCCCTGTCCCTTCCCGGGGGCACCGTGCCTTCTCCTCCCCTGTCCCTTCCCGGGGGCACCGTGCCTTCTCCTCCCCTGTCCCTTCCCGGGGGCACCGTGCCTTCTCCTCCCCTGTCCCTTCCCGGGGGCACCGTGCCTTCTCCTCCCCTGTCCCTTCCCGGGGGCACCGTGCCTTCTCCTCCCCTGTCCCTTCCCGGGGGCACCGTGCCTTCTCCTCCCCTGTCCCTTCCCGGGGGCACCGTGCCTTCTCCTCCCCTGTCCCTTCCCGGGGGCACCGTGCCTTCTCCTCCCCTGTCCCTTCCCGGGGGCACCGTGCCTTCTCCTCCCCTGTCCCTTCCCGGGGGCACCGTGCCTTCTCCTCCCCTGTCCCTTCCCGGGGGCACCGTGCCTTCTCCTCCCCTGTCCCTTCCCGGGGGCACCGTGCCTTCTCCTCCCCTGTCCCTTCCCGGGGGCACCGTGCCTTCTCCTCCCCTGTCCCTTCCCGGGGGCACCGTGCCTTCTCCTCCCCTGTCCCTTCCCGGGGGCACCGTGCCTTCTCCTCCCCTGTCCCTTCCCGGGGGCACCGTGCCTTCTCCTCCCCTGTCCCTTCCCGGGGGCACCGTGCCTTCTCCTCCCCTGTCCCTTCCCGGGGGCACCGTGCCTTCTCCTCCCCTGTCCCTTCCCGGGGGCACCGTGCCTTCTCCTCCCCTGTCCCTTCCCGGGGGCACCGTGCCTTCTCCTCCCCTGTCCCTTCCCGGGGGCACCGTGCCTTCTCCTCCCCTGTCCCTTCCCGGGGGCACCGTGCCTTCTCCTCCCCTGTCCCTTCCCGGGGGCACCGTGCCTTCTCCTCCCCTGTCCCTTCCCGGGGGCACCGTGCCTTCTCCTCCCCTGTCCCTTCCCGGGGGCACCGTGCCTTCTCCTCCCCTGTCCCTTCCCGGGGGCACCGTGCCTTCTCCTCCCCTGTCCCTTCCCGGGGGCACCGTGCCTTCTCCTCCCCTGTCCCTTCCCGGGGGCACCGTGCCTTCTCCTCCCCTGTCCCTTCCCGGGGGCACCGTGCCTTCTCCTCCCCTGTCCCTTCCCGGGGGCACCGTGCCTTCTCCTCCCCTGTCCCTTCCCGGGGGCACCGTGCCTTCTCCTCCCCTGTCCCTTCCCGGGGGCACCGTGCCTTCTCCTCCCCTGTCCCTTCCCGGGGGCACCGTGCCTTCTCCTCCCCTGTCCCTTCCCGGGGGCACCGTGCCTTCTCCTCCCCTGTCCCTTCCCGGGGGCACCGTGCCTTCTCCTCCCCTGTCCCTTCCCGGGGGCACCGTGCCTTCTCCTCCCCTGTCCCTTCCCGGGGGCACCGTGCCTTCTCCTCCCCTGTCCCTTCCCGGGGGCACCGTGCCTTCTCCTCCCCTGTCCCTTCCCGGGGGCACCGTGCCTTCTCCTCCCCTGTCCCTTCCCGGGGGCACCGTGCCTTCTCCTCCCCTGTCCCTTCCCGGGGGCACCGTGCCTTCTCCTCCCCTGTCCCTTCCCGGGGGCACCGTGCCTTCTCCTCCCCTGTCCCTTCCCGGGGGCACCGTGCCTTCTCCTCCCCTGTCCCTTCCCGGGGGCACCGTGCCTTCTCCTCCCCTGTCCCTTCCCGGGGGCACCGTGCCTTCTCCTCCCCTGTCCCTTCCCGGGGGCACCGTGCCTTCTCCTCCCCTGTCCCTTCCCGGGGGCACCGTGCCTTCTCCTCCCCTGTCCCTTCCCGGGGGCACCGTGCCTTCTCCTCCCCTGTCCCTTCCCGGGGGCACCGTGCCTTCTCCTCCCCTGTCCCTTCCCGGGGGCACCGTGCCTTCTCCTCCCCTGTCCCTTCCCGGGGGCACCGTGCCTTCTCCTCCCCTGTCCCTTCCCGGGGGCACCGTGCCTTCTCCTCCCCTGTCCCTTCCCGGGGGCACCGTGCCTTCTCCTCCCCTGTCCCTTCCCGGGGGCACCGTGCCTTCTCCTCCCCTGTCCCTTCCCGGGGGCACCGTGCCTTCTCCTCCCCTGTCCCTTCCCGGGGGCACCGTGCCTTCTCCTCCCCTGTCCCTTCCCGGGGGCACCGTGCCTTCTCCTCCCCTGTCCCTTCCCGGGGGCACCGTGCCTTCTCCTCCCCTGTCCCTTCCCGGGGGCACCGTGCCTTCTCCTCCCCTGTCCCTTCCCGGGGGCACCGTGCCTTCTCCTCCCCTGTCCCTTCCCGGGGGCACCGTGCCTTCTCCTCCCCTGTCCCTTCCCGGGGGCACCGTGCCTTCTCCTCCCCTGTCCCTTCCCGGGGGCACCGTGCCTTCTCCTCCCCTGTCCCTTCCCGGGGGCACCGTGCCTTCTCCTCCCCTGTCCCTTCCCGGGGGCACCGTGCCTTCTCCTCCCCTGTCCCTTCCCGGGGGCACCGTGCCTTCTCCTCCCCTGTCCCTTCCCGGGGGCACCGTGCCTTCTCCTCCCCTGTCCCTTCCCGGGGGCACCGTGCCTTCTCCTCCCCTGTCCCTTCCCGGGGGCACCGTGCCTTCTCCTCCCCTGTCCCTTCCCGGGGGCACCGTGCCTTCTCCTCCCCTGTCCCTTCCCGGGGGCACCGTGCCTTCTCCTCCCCTGTCCCTTCCCGGGGGCACCGTGCCTTCTCCTCCCCTGTCCCTTCCCGGGGGCACCGTGCCTTCTCCTCCCCTGTCCCTTCCCGGGGGCACCGTGCCTTCTCCTCCCCTGTCCCTTCCCGGGGGCACCGTGCCTTCTCCTCCCCTGTCCCTTCCCGGGGGCACCGTGCCTTCTCCTCCCCTGTCCCTTCCCGGGGGCACCGTGCCTTCTCCTCCCCTGTCCCTTCCCGGGGGCACCGTGCCTTCTCCTCCCCTGTCCCTTCCCGGGGGCACCGTGCCTTCTCCTCCCCTGTCCCTTCCCGGGGGCACCGTGCCTTCTCCTCCCCTGTCCCTTCCCGGGGGCACCGTGCCTTCTCCTCCCCTGTCCCTTCCCGGGGGCACCGTGCCTTCTCCTCCCCTGTCCCTTCCCGGGGGCACCGTGCCTTCTCCTCCCCTGTCCCTTCCCGGGGGCACCGTGCCTTCTCCTCCCCTGTCCCTTCCCGGGGGCACCGTGCCTTCTCCTCCCCTGTCCCTTCCCGGGGGCACCGTGCCTTCTCCTCCCCTGTCCCTTCCCGGGGGCACCGTGCCTTCTCCTCCCCTGTCCCTTCCCGGGGGCACCGTGCCTTCTCCTCCCCTGTCCCTTCCCGGGGGCACCGTGCCTTCTCCTCCCCTGTCCCTTCCCGGGGGCACCGTGCCTTCTCCTCCCCTGTCCCTTCCCGGGGGCTGGGTGCAGCCCGAGATCACGCAGAAGCTGTACGTCGCGCTGTGGGCCGCCTTCCTGGCCTCCTGCTGCTTCCCCTACCGCCTGGTGGGGCTCGCCGTGGGTGAGCAGGCGCGGGCGGGTGTGGCACACCGTGCCTTCTCCTCCCCTGTCCCTTCCCGGGGGCACCGTGCCTTCTCCTCCCCTGTCCCTTCCCGGGGGCACCGTGCCTTCTCCTCCCCTGTCCCTTCCCGGGGGCACCGTGCCTTCTCCTCCCCTGTCCCTTCCCGGGGGCACCGTGCCTTCTCCTCCCCTGTCCCTTCCCGGGGGCACCGTGCCTTCTCCTCCCCTGTCCCTTCCCGGGGGCACCGTGCCTTCTCCTCCCCTGTCCCTTCCCGGGGGCACCGTGCCTTCTCCTCCCCTGTCCCTTCCCGGGGGCACCGTGCCTTCTCCTCCCCTGTCCCTTCCCGGGGGCACCGTGCCTTCTCCTCCCCTGTCCCTTCCCGGGGGCACCGTGCCAGACCCCACGGGGTGCGGACCGCCATGCCAAGCAGGCAGCACCCGGCGGGTCCTGGGTGAAGGGCTGTGTTCTTGCAGGACTCTATGCCGGGATCAAGTTTTTCCTCATCGATTTCGTCTTCAAACGCTGCCCGCGGCTGCGAGCCAAGTACGACACCCCCTACATCATCTGGAAGAGCCTGCCCACTGACCCGCAGCTCAAGGAGCGCTCCAGCGCCGCCGCCGTGTCCCGCAGGGTGAGTGCCCGGCCGGGCCAGAGCCCGCCATCCTGCGTTCATGCGTGGTCGCTGGGGCCATGTCCTTCCCGCTCCCCGGGCCCTTGAACAGACAGGAGTCTTTCCTGCTCCAGGCCCTGCTGTGTCGAAGGCGGGACCTACCGAGCCAGGCGGCCCCCAGGCCCAGGGCCGGCTGTTGTCATGGCTACAGAGAGCCTGGGGCCTTTGGAGGAGGGTGCCCTGGCAGTGACAGCTCTGGGTGGGTGGCAGGTTGCGCTGTCCCCAGCTCTGAAGCTCGGGCAGCAAGGCCGGCCACACCTGATGGGCCCTCCTTGGTCCCTGTTTCATTCACAGTGGAGAGCCACCTGGGCATCGACACTGTGTCCCCAGCCAGCCTAGTGCTGCCCTCGGGGTCTCCAACAAGGGGGTTCTGGGCTAGCAGGACTCCCAGGCAGGTCCAGGAGGCCTTCCTGGAGGAGGGGACACTGGCTTGCAGAGTCGTGTGTGTGCGTGAGCTCTGAGGAGAGGGTGTTCCGTGACTTGATGATGCTTCTGTGGGTGGGAGGGAAGCTCTGGGTCGGGGGGGCCCGTGCTCCCCAGTTCTGGCACAGGAAGGCTTGTGGGGAGCCTGAGCTCACCAGTGGGGTGTGTAGCAGGCAGGCGTGAGGCAGCGGCTGGGCTCTGGGCACAGACAGAGGTGGACTCAGGAGAGGCACAGAGGCAGGCAGCCCAGCTCCCTGACAGCATGGGGGGGCGGGGGGTGACCTGTGGGGCCCTGTTGGGGATCAGGACCCCCTCCTCGCGCCGGCCACGCTCAGGGACAGTCAGGGAGCAGGGCGCGGCCTCCGGGTGGAAGGCGGCCGCCGCGGTCGCACGGCCGGTCTGCGCTTGCAGCTTGCTGAGCTGTGTGTGGCCTCGTGTCATGTGGGCCCGTTTCTCTCTTGTCGCGGTCACACGTGTGTCTTGTCTCCTCCGGGCAGCTGTCAGGGCACGACAAGGTAGGGTCCGTGGGGAAGCCCCGCTGTGGCTGGTGCTGTGCGTTGCTG